AGTAATGCCCTGCTTATGTATAAATTGAAAAGTTCATTAGGAATGACTGGTAAGGGAAGAGCATAGCTCATGAACATATGGGAAATCAGTTTACTTCAGAGAACTGAGGGTGAAAGGAAGGGATGTCTGCTTTTTATTAAAACCTGAAATGCATTATAATTGGCCTGAATCTTTGCCCAGATGGCTTCTCTTATGCTGACATCTGCAAGAGTGTATATAAAGCAACATTAAGAAGCTGTCTCTTGTGACAGTGTGTACACATGTAATTCTGTTAAAAACTAAGTCCTTTGCTATCTGTAGTATTGGTCTTCAAGTAAGCATGCTGAGAAATGTCATTTGTTTGACAAAAACTAATTATGGAACATGCTTTTTTACATGGAAATGTTCTACCACAGCTGAGAAAACTTTTTAGGGCTTTTCACCTACTTTTGTAGATTCTTGTTCATTCTTCATCATAAGTTCCAGGTAAACGTTTTCTTTTTTTGGCAGGGGTAAAGAAATTTCTTCTTCTAGTCTGTGTAATTTTTTTCTGAAGTTTAATTATTTTGAGTTTTCACGTGTGAATTTCAGCTGTTTTCCACTGACCCGTGAAAATCTTAGATGATACCTGAAAGTCCATTAGCGATTAAACAGTTTGAGTGGTGACAGTGGATGCAATGTAATATATCTGTTAGTCTGTTCAGTTCTGTCTGTCATTCACTGGGTAATAATTTTTTTAAATGACCTGTCAACATATTGCTTCTTTCTTTGTCAGACAACAGGAAAATTAAAGTCAATGGCACCAGAGAACCTATTGAGTTTAAGACAAATCAGTGGTTTGGGGCAACAGTGAAAGCTCATAAAGAAAAAGTTGTGGTAAGTGTTATGCATTTGGTAGTAATTTGGAGATAATGTTTATTTTTCTCAAATGCATATCTTTAATAGATGTCTTTGTGTCTAATATGGAAATAACTCTATGATTATGCATGAATATAATTCAGAAAATGAAAGCAGCCTATAAAATCAGGTTGAATTGACCAAGTGAAGATGATTCCACTGCCATGTGAAAACAGCAGAATCCTATATTGTTGTGGAAATGAATGATGATGTTTTTTAAACAGGTAATGGACATATTTTAGAGATACACAGCAACTCACAGCTCTGTGCTATCAAATGTTTTGTATTATGAAGATATATTTGGAATGTTAAATACAGAATGTGATGAAATTACATGTATCAGAATGTAACAAAACCTAATGAAACCAAGAACCTCAGTTGAATTTCAATTAGTAAGAGAGAGCACTGACCTCTTTTGTCACATTTATGTTGTTTTGAACAGCTGTGTCTTAATCATGGTAAAACAGCTGCAAAATGCAAAAAGCTCCAAATCAAGATGGCTGTGAAAATGCAATATCTGTTTTCCAGTTTCACTGGGCATTTTACCTGTATTGATGAAGGCCTCCAGCAGTGGGAAAGTTTTCTTACTGTTTAGTAAAGTGGTGGTGATGCTGCTTATACACAGACATTTTATATTTCCAATTTATGCACTAAGGTTTACACTGAAAATGGCACTGATTTGTGTCGTTGTGATAACCATAATTAGTTTGGTCATTAGTTTTTATAATTAAAAACGCAATAATTTGTCTTGGGATTTGCTTAAAACTTCCAATTGTTGCTTAAAAAACAGTCATAAGGGAGGAAGTATAGCAAGGAAAAGTGTTTCCTTGTATCATATGCCTTGTGGTTAACTTACAGAAGGATTTTGACATGAAACAGGTAATGAATAAAACATCACCCTATTCTGTTTCAGAGCTAAGTAAACATGAAGATTCTAAAAGAAATCTAAAAATAGCTGAAGATTTTTCATTTTATGTATTCCACTAAACAACAGTTCACAAGTGGAAATAAAGTAGTTCTTTACTACCACTCACTAAGTATTAATTGAATGAGCAGAAAACCTCATCACTGACTGATGTGCTGTTTCTGTACTGACCAAACTTTGGTTTACTTCTGGTAACTCTCCTCAGAATTTCTGAAACAGAGATATAGTCAACACTTTTCAGGCAAAAATTTGTACAGCAAAGCTAGAGAACTTTGTGTTTTAAGCTTTATAGACAGAGAGAAAAATAAAATGTCATCAAACTTTCAGGAACTTGTTTTTTAAGCTACAAATGGGATAGTAAACTGCATTAGGGCTATGTTTATGTTTATATTGAGTTCTTGTTTCAATCCATTTTGCTGGATGCCAAATGTACTTAAAAATCACCCTTACAGGACACATACTCCTCTTTGTTGCACTCTGGTTTTGCTCTCTGTTTTAATACATAAAGTCTTCTAGGCAAGGGCATGTTATGAGTCCCTGTTCCTTAAACCATGGGTTCAGAAACTGAATTTTATGGTAAGCTCTGAGTAGCAAAGTGGTTCATCCTGCTGGAACTGGTTGCAGAACAAAGTAATGTGAATAATAGCAATACTTTGCCAGAGGTAGAGGGGTTTCTGACTGGAAAAGTAGGACAAGGTAGGACATAAATGAAGGGTTTATTTGTATCTTACAGAGACAAGGTTGTAGGGAGAGGTAGTGTCTTCGCCCTCCCAGGAAATGAAAAGTTTTTGGGCACAAGAACCCATGAAGAATGACTTGGAGACCTGACAGCTTATTGTTTTTATTTTTCTAATCACTTGGATTACCTTCAAAAAAGATAATGCCTTTTTCTACACAGCATGTATATCTTTTATCTTTACACTGTCAGGTTTGTAACACTACTACCATAACACAGAAGGTTAAGTACTAGTTATCTAGCCAAGACGTACTTAGCAAAAAATTGTTCAGACTGTTGAATGCATTATAACTGTATCATATCTACAAAGGTTTGAACCAGGGTTTATAAGAGGGCAGACAATTTGATGATTGATTGGCAATATGACACAACAGCCTGGCAAATCACCTTCTGCTGAATAGAGTCAAGTCAGTTCTGCTGCAACACACATTCTCTTAAGACATACCAGGATAAAAGTAGGATTGCTTTCAGCCACATATATGTGATATGCATCTTAAACTGCAGGATCAAGTCCTGTGCAGTGGGCAGCAATAGAGCAAACATGACTTGTGAAGCAGGCTTAGAGGGTATTTGTAACACATGCTGAAATGTAACTTGTAGTCCCTGGCAGATTTCACCTGCCAAGGGCTGTAAGTGAAAAATCCCTGTGCTTTTCAGGTTATAATGACATTATATAAAGCAATGGCCCTGCATTTTCTTCTGTCAATATATTGTGATTTTTGCTGTATGAGTGATACAATGCCAGAGAGAATCCTTGTAGACAGTTTGTTTAAAACTGCATTTGCCAGATGTGTGACTGCACAAAAGGTATGTGTGACCTTGTTTCTGTTTTGCTAGGCTTGTGCTCCTTTGTATCATTGGAGAACCCTTAAAGATAGCCCTGAGAAGGACCCTGTTGGCACCTGCTATGTAGCAATTCAGAACTTCAGTGCCTATGCTGAATATTCACCTTGTCGCAACAGTAGGTATTAATACGAACAATTCTGTGTTGGAGGAATTGATACTGCACTCAGTGTTTTTGTCCTATCAGTCTTCACACAGTCTTGGCTGAATGAAGGTTACTATGTGATGTATTGCACTGAGTGAGGGTGTAAAGAAAAATCAACATTAAATTATATGCCTGCAATTGGATGCTTTATTGTATAATTGAAAGAGGAGGAATTAAGTAAATTAAGCGTGTGCAGTTATAGTTATGAGCTGTAATTTGTTCAATTTGAATGGCTTTAAAATGTAGCAAATGGATCTAGATAAGAACCAGACAGCATTTTAAGCCAATTATTCATACTTCTGCTGAGTATAAATCCCTCATCACAAGATCACCATTTGAAGACCAGACCCTGCATAGAAACACACATGCCTCTATCACCATTCATGCCAATATCATCCACAATAGCTCATTTATGCAGAACTTTCAGCATGGAAAAAAGCCATGCACATTGACACTGCTGTTCCACGCTCTTCTCTGTGCTCCATGCACATTGGCACTGCTGTCCAACGCTCTTCTCTGTGCTGTTCTGAGGATCTGATATCCATCTCTTGTCCTTATTTCTTGTGGAACAGGGAAAAACTGCTTGTATATTTAGAACTAAGTTCAGTTACCTAGAAGTCTGCAGAAAATACTGCATGTTAGATTATATCGGCTTTCATCTTGTTCAGCGTCCTATGTCTAAGTGTTTATCATGATTATGAATACTCTCATTACCTCCAAATTACTAAAATCAGTATGAAGTATCCAGTGACTTTACATACCTTCCCACTGACCTAGGTCTGTGGCAGTTTCTACAGTCACTGATTCGAGAATTTCTTGGTAAGTTCTTTAGTTTTGAATCTCCAGCCAAATTCACACTGAATCCCAGATAGTTGTTGCAAGGTTCCTTCCTTGGCAGTGAAAGGAAAGTCCTAAATTGCAGGTCCTATTTTTCAAAATCTTCACAAGGGGCTGCATGTTCAGTGTCCTGTAGAAGCTCTTGATTTGTTCTGCCTGCTCTAAAAAAGAATACATCCTTTCACATACTTTGGCAGTTTTTTATTTACAGCCTTACAGCTCCAGAGGTGTATATGCTATCTTCCACATGCACTGTGAAATCAATAAAATGCTTCTACCTTCATAATTGCAGGCAATGCAGATCCTGAAGGACAAGGCTTTTGTCAAGCAGGTTTCAGCTTAGATTTTTACAAGGTGAGATTCTGCTTCTGAAGTATTTTGACCAAATGCAATTGTGATATATCCACAGTGTTCAAGTGCTGTCTCAGTGATCATGAGTTTATACCATTGCTGTTGCATATGAAAAGTTTCATGAAGTTGTTGCAAGTTCTTTCCTCCTTTTCAAGCTTCAGAATTTCTGGTTTCATTAATAAATGAAATATTCAATCAGCACCTGTTTATCTCTTTCTAGCACTCCAATCTGACTCTGCTCAGTCTGTCTTAATAGATGATTAGGCAAAAAATGGCATTTGCTTCTATCTCAGTCTTTCCAACTTACAATGCTTTACAAAGACTTGACTTTCATGAAGCAAAGGGCAGGCACCAGCTAATTTTTAAAAGTTAAAATACCTTGTGTGAAGATGCTTTTGGAGGCAGACTAGTCATTGAGCAAGACGATTCTCCTGTTGGGGTGAAAGTGCTTAAGGGAAAGAACTAGATGTTCTTAAATGCCAAGAAGGTCCAGAAACAATATTGTGGGATAAAAAATAAACGTTGCAGCTATTGTTACTGTCTGTGCCTCACATTCTTTGACCATTGCTGTTGTTTTCAGTGTTCTACAGCTGCATTGTTATTTACACTGTTAATAGCTGAGGAGTTAAGACCTCAATGTAGGGTAGACAAAAGTATATTTGTCTATAAAGCATTACTGTAGCTTCAGTGAAGAACCTCTTTTATGCTAACTTTTTTTTTTTACAAAGAAGGAGCAATTTTTAGAATGCTATGTAAGTGGTAAAAATATTTTAGCTTTCATTCAAGTGAAGATGCATAGGGTGATCTTAACCTTTTTTAGTTGTGGATTTGCCTCCACATCCATGTACCTACATGCTTTCCTTTAACATGGCTATTCTCCTTTATCATGATATGATATTATTTTGGTCATTAAAATTGTTTTTTTTCCCATGCATGCTTAATTTTGTTGTGTTCTTTTGTTGTGTAATTTTATTCAATTTTGCTTTTTGTAGAACGGAGACCTGATAGTAGGCGGGCCTGGTAGTTTTTATTGGCAAGGTATGTTCATCTGGCTGGTTAACTTGATCTAAGAAGTGAAGCAGAAAGTATTATTGTTCTACATTTCCATTGTTTTCTTGGTTTAAGATAACCAGTCTCTGATCTTATTTTCAACAAATATAAATCAGAGGAATTGCTTAACAGGCAACTGAAAATAAAAACAAGTCAGGGAAAATTCAGGTTGTAGGTTGTGTAGGACATGAAACAAATAGAAATAACTATTTTTCTGTTGCCATTTTAGCATATTTGTCATTCAATTAATAAGCTTAATTTTTCCATAGAAATACTGCAGTTTTAAAAATAGCTAATATTTGTACAGCAAATGTAATATTTTTAAAGTTTTTACTACTATTTGTTTCTTAACACAACTTTTTATTGCTATCTGCACACACTTCTAGTTCATTTGTGGCATCACTGTGGTTTCCAAGATACAGTTTCTCATGTAGATACAACCTGAAGTTGTTTCGGTGAAGGGTTAAAAGGGTATTTTTATTTTAACCTGTTTTGACATGTATGATAGCAGCTGATTCCCAGCCTCTGCCTACCATGTTGCCCATTGCCAACCTCTTTGATGTGTGTTCTTGCATTGCCTTTAAAGGATCTATTTGATTGCGATGGTAGGGAATTCATAGCTTAGAATTTGCCATTGACAAATCACTTCCATTTGTCTACTACATTTGTACAGTACAGTGAATTTACTTCGAATCAGCACATTGAAATGGATCTGGAGATGTTTTTGTGATGGTTCAATAGAGTTTCAATGCCTTCCTGTATTGGTTTATATGTACTCTCGAGACCTCCAGAGTCATAATGGAGAAAGACTGAGAGAAGATGTCTACTCTTTGCATCAGCTCTGTTCTGATGTTCTGTAGAATCTGTGTGTCTTTTATGTCCCTTTCATTTATGAAACTGTTTGAATGCAGGTCAGGTAATCACTGCAAGTATTGCGGACATCATTGCAAATTATTCCTTCAAAGATATTCTGAGGAAACTGGCACGAGAGAAGCAAACAGGAGTGGCACCACCCTCCTATGATGACACTTACATGGGTGAGCTAAACTCTAAATGAGTTAGCAATATGTTCTCAAAGCATGAGTCTTATATCAATATGAAAACAAGCCCTAAATTACTATTATCCCAATTGTGAGAGGATTTGAACATGCTTTGCCTTAAGCACAACAGCAAATCAGTAGTTTAGTAGTTACTTCAGTGAGATTATTAACATTCTTAAAATTATGCACAGCAGCAGGGTTTGAGGGTTGAGATCTTAAATGGCTTATTAGGGCTCTTATTATTGGATCTTAAGTAATTAAGAGGAAATGCAAAATTTTCCCATTTATGTATTGTTTTCATTCTAAAATGATGGATTGAACTTAAAGTATTTAAAGACGATTTTAGCTTTTAATAGATGAAAATTGAGTTCTGCAGCATTTTGTACAGTACTGCACAAATACTCAAATTATTCTCACTGATATTTAGAAGATGCAATTGAAGTAAGCATTAACAGAAGTCAGTTTGAAGATATTATGTAATAAATAGAAACCTGGCTCCTCGTCTACCTTTTTTTTGTACTAATCTCTAAGAATTTTCATGATATATAACTGCATCTTTGGAAATCTGTATGCGTATAGAGCTCAACCAGGATACTCACACAGTCCAGTCCAGTAATGAAGACCTAAATTGCATCAAGAGCTGTTATGGCAAAACACCATAGTACCTGCTGGGTTTTTTCAGATAAATTATTGAGTATTAATGATTGAGAAGCACATTTTTGGAGAAGAGAGGTCAATATGTTATACATTCAGGCCTACCATTAATTTACTCATAATAATGTGATAAACAACTTTCTTTTATTCATGCAGTTTTGGTATACTAATGTTAGAAACTTGTATTCAGATGATCAGTTGAACAGACAAATCTGGTTGGCCTTGCATGTGTTTTGAAAGAAATTTTTTATCAATTTGGGTTGTTTTTTAATATACCTTTAAACAGGATACTCAGTGGCTGCTGGGGAATTTACTGGGGATTCTGAACAAGGTAAGAAGCTATGTACTTGAATGAAAACCATATGGCCATCCTCTTTTTAAAAATTCCTCATTTTGGGTCTCTATGCAGGACATACCTATTATACATTTGAAACACTGGTGAGATTTAAGCTGTCTGCACTCAATATTCTCAGGGACAAATATTTCCTTAGACTGTATAACATAACAACAGAATTTAAGTAATGCAAAAGTCTGAATCTGTTGGTATGTTATCATGCTCATGCATGTGTTCAGCAGTGAGAGTTGTGACAACAGTGTAGGTGAGCCATCCAGGCTCAATTAATTTAACCAGTTTGGTGTGCTGAACTCATAGCACAAAGTGCTGTGGCAGGAGAACTCAAAACAAGCTGAACATGGTCTGATTTTTAAATTACAAAGTAAGTTTTGCAGGTATATTAGAAATTGAACAGTATTTTCCTGTCATTACAAGTTGGATCCAGTGTAGAAGAAAAGCTCCTGTCATACCTGTCTGTTTAGCAGAGTATGTTAAAAATAATCAGTTATAAATAGAAATTTGTCCATGATTTAGCTATTTTCAGATATTCTGAAATTGTACATGATTTCAAAACATAATTATCTGAAAATACCTGTGATCCCTGGTGTTGCATGCCTCTGAGTTATGTTTCGTGTGTAATGCTCACAGTCAGAAAGTATTCCTTAAGGGGTAGCTTTCTTGAGAGTGTGAACAACTCCATGATCCAGACTCACAAAGCCAACAGAGACAGTGGACACTGCTATAAATGAACCCAGCTCTCCAGAACTGCTGCTACATAGTCCCTCTGAAGTTATAATTGCCTGTCGTGCATTACGATGTGTTCAAAATATAAAAGAAAATACATGATCTTGAGCCAAACACTATGATGTGTAAAAAGATATATCCCTGGTAGTGGAAGGCTGCATTTTTTCTGCTTTTTTTAATGCATACTCTGGATTTTATAAGGGATGATTCTCAAATTAGTATGTCATGTGAATGATTGGCACAAAAAATTCCATAGTTGTCTGACCCGTGATTCATCCTGTGTCCTATTCAGTCCTTCTTTATTACTTCCATTTCCCCTTGACAAAACACATTAAATCACAGGCAAGTATATAAACCCGGAGAGGAACAATGGAATGCTAGTTCAGTACAGGCAGGTGTCTGAGGTACTCTGATATTTGAAGTTCCTGCTGCTATCTGCTGATGTGGATATCCTCATGAGGAAAGGTTTGGACAGTAGGGCTACAGGCTGTGACTTTGCTTTATCCTTTGGGGCTTTTTTACCCATTTTTTCTACTAGTTGTTTGAGATTTCACCATTGAGCAGAATTAGTCCTAGAAGGCAGCTAGGTCCAATGTTTCATATTCTTGTTCAATGAATCCCTCCAATGGCACTCACAAAAACTTCCTTGCAATGCTGTTAGATAGCCTGTGCAGAACTTGTTGAACACTTCCAGGGCATCAAGCAAAATAAAGGATGAGACAAATTGTTGTGTAGCCAAAAAGAAAAGAAGTATTTGTAAGGATAGTTATGTTTAGCTTCTGAACTCTAGTGTGTGATGTCATACACTAGATATGTGTGTGATATAACTAATTTTGGTGCAATCAATCCACAGCTGTCAGGTAGCAAGCTGACTGGTACCAAGAGCTTTCTTGTACTGTGCTATATGCTAAGTAATGCTAGGCAGAAGGAGCTCTCTGGATGAGTGTGTTCAAAAGTCAAGGTGTAACGTTTTATGCAAGTACATGCACTAAATGAATGCTAAAGTCTTATGAGTTAATGTTTTGATGTGATTTACGGGTGTTTCTGATACAGATCACAAATCAAAATCGTAAGGGGTTTGGTATATATGTATAAAGGAAGGTTTAAGTGTCATGGGATGCATGTTGCATGCACCACTCAGATGGCAAACCAGTTCACTGTTGATTGTTTATCCTTTCAGAGTTGGTTGCTGGAGTCCCAAGGGGAGCACAGAACTTTGGCTATGTATGTACTGGACCCACATTTTATCCTTTTTGTAGTGAGAAGTCAATTAGACTATTTGAAAGGTTAAAGACTACATTATATTTTCCATCTCTTTGATACAAAACTTTCTAATAGGAGTAAACAGCAACTGACTTTCACCCCCAGGCTTACTTTCAGAGTTGGTTGCTGGAGTCCCAAGGGGAGCACAGAACTTTGGCTATGTATGTACTGGACCCACATTTTATCCTTTTTGTAGTGAGAAGTCAATTAGACTATTTGAAAGGTTAAAGACTACATTATATTTTCCATCTCTTTGATACAAAACTTTCTAATAGGAGTAAACAGCAACTGACTTTCACCCCCAGGCTTACCTGGCTGACTAATAGGAGTAAACAGCAACTGACTTTTACTCCCAGGCTTGCCTGGCTGGGTTGAAAAGTGTTACTGGTTTGAGCTTTGACTGGTAAGCACTTAGTCCCCTCTGAAGTCTGTTTTCAATAACCAATTATGATTTGAATATGACTAGTATCCCTATATCCACTGAGTGTTACCAGACCTAAGTTTATCCATAGATTAGCGTATTTCATATGCAATGTTGTGTCCACAGTGGAGAGGAGTCCAAGTTCAGGTTATTTATACCCAGTGTTTACTTTCAGTGCTGTAAGTATATACACTGAATACCAGATGCAAAGAGTTGTGATAAGCAGTTAAAAGTGAAGGGAGGAAACAATATACATTTGTGGATACAGATTTTACCTCTTAGGAAAAAAGTTTCACAATTAACCTGATTGGGAGACGAGGTCTCACCCACAGACGTATTCTCTAGTTTTGTGGACCCAAAATTTCTTGTGTCTCTGGAACTTATTCTTTAAATTTTTAGAAGAAAGGTGTGTATGTATATGTATATATATTCATGTATATATGTGTATATATATTTCTTTATATATTTAAGTTCATGTTTTCATGCCTAGTCACTGATCAGCTGATAGTCTGTGATTTGATGCTGTTCAGTGTCCAGTAAGGAAGGCAAATAGTCTTTTCCCTATTTTGTCTATGGGGAACCTAAGAGTCATTAAATCTTAGTGATTTGTTCAAGATCATACAGGAAAACTGTGATGAGACAGAAAATAATTGTTCTTTTCTTGGTCACATGGACCATCCCTCAGTGTGTCAAATTGGCTTGCAGTGATTTCATGCTGTAGCATCTCCATGTGTGCTTGAAACTTTCCATATTTTTCTGTTACCAGGTCTCAATTATTAATTCTTCAGACTTGACCTTTATCCAGAACTTCACTGGTGAACAGGTAATGTCAAGCAACTACATGATGACAAATTATATCTCTAGAGGATATAGTTTCATTAACATAGTTTCAAGAATAGATAAAATAATTTTTTGGTATTAATTACCATAAAAACAAAGAGGATTGTCAGTAAAAATAATTTAACATTGTTATCTGACATGAAAGCCTATCTGTTGTTTTTTATTTCCAGATGGCGTCTTATTTTGGGTACACAGTTGCAGTATCTGATGTTAACAATGATGGGTAGGTTACCAAATATATTCAGCTCCACTGAACATTCATAGAAGCAATGCCTGATATTTACTAGTAAATGTAGGTTTTCAGGTGCTTCATACCTCAAAATGCTTTTCTTGGCTTCTCTGCTTTTCTAATTTTAATTGTTCACATAGGCTTATCTTTGTGCAAACACAGTGGCATGAGTATTTGCAGGTCTAGTTTGGGTGAGTTTCTCTTTCTGAGTAT